TTTTTCCTGAAAAATACAGATTCTGGAATTGTCTATCATTTGTTGCTTTTCTTATGGTGTTTACTTTCGTTGGACTTTTCATTCCTGCTCATGTATATTTCTACGTAACATTTTCTGATATATATTATTCAATAAGTATCTACTTTACACTGATTGTTTTCAGGTAAGAATATCATTTAAATTTTTCTATTTATGGAAAATTAAATGTCTGAAGATCATCTTTTAAATAATGAAAAATGTTTCATACCTTAGATTGAACAATTGACTCAAACTTTCCAAGGAATCATCAGAAAATTAATATTTAGCATTTTTCAATTTTAAATTAAATTTCAAAGCAATGCAAACACTGTGTAAAATTTTTGAAACTTAGAAGGAAAAAAATCTTTCATAATCTTAATATCAGGCAACTACTATTAACATTTGGCATATTTTGTCTAGTGTTTCGTTTTTCTATGAACTTTCATGAAGTTAAGCACTAATCATAAATAAAAATCTTACCTTGTGTTTTTGTTAATATTACATAACAGTTTTCTACAAATTAAAAATTATGATTGGAAATAGCTTTTTAAAAAATCATAAGGAAGCCCTCCTTGTAAATGTATTTTTTGCTTAAGTAATTTTTGTAGTTTCTCCACTGTTAAGCAGGCAGAAAAGCATCTGTCCATGTAGCTGAAAAGAAGATGACATGGAGTAGGAAAAACCACTGCAACTAGATCTCACAGTTCTTTAATCTCCATCACTGAAATGTCTAATACTCTACTTCCATCTAGTTGGATGGTTGACATCAAGTCAGCCCTTGCCAAGTAGATGGAAATCAGTCCCAAATTATCAGATAAAATTAGTGTAAAATGGAGGAATGAATATGACTGAAAAAAGAAATAGAAAAAAAAGCTTGATCAATATTGGACAGATTCAACAAGATTTAGATCTATGAAGAAAATGAAAGGGAGGACATTTTCTTCTTAATTCTTATTCATTAAGTTTATTTTTATTTCTTTTTGGGATCCAGAATTTATCTACAAAACATCCCTAACTCATTTTTTTTTTTCACCTAAAGAAGCACCACTCAAGGGTGATGTGGAATTACCCTATTACTCACCTAGTCGAAAGTACCAAAGAGAATAATGCTGTTTTCTTGGCAAGTCTCTCCGCGGAATACCTTCTACCCTCCCGTGGTGCCACGCCCACAGGGTGTGAAACATTTCTCATCTGCTTGAGTGTCAGCAATCCCACAGAAAATAGATTGGGATAGAGTAGAAAGAAATGGAAAGAAATTTCTGTAACTAAAATAACTTTCTAAATATTATGTTGTCTTTTAGACTTCTGGTCTTTCTATTAATGAGCCCTATTTTGTCTCAAGTTGGCCATGGGTTCAACTGGCGCTGGGCATTCATAATGGTCTGGAGTGAAGTGAAAGGGACTCCTAACATAAACATGGCCCTTCTGCTTGCCTACTCTGACCCTGCTCTTGGATCTGAGAGGGAAAAATCTCAGGTAAAGAAAGCTGTATTTTCTTATTTTGATGTTTTACAAAACTGTTGCATTGTACTTAAAATATGTTTTTGTAGTGAGGTAGCTCAACCCCACTTGGGCTGTAGGAGTGATTTAGCTATGATGGCAACTTTGGGGAGGGGAGGAACAACCGACAACTTTCCTTCTCCCTGATCCGGTTTAGATTCCTAAATTCTTTCACATTCCTAAAAATAGGTTTATTATGATTAAAGGAATTAAAACTTATAGATTATTTAAAATCGTACCTAATACGAAGTATGCATTCAAGAATGTTTTAAATTTTATTTACTCCTGATACCCAATCAAGAGAAGCAGAAATCCACTTATGGTTGGCTCTATTGCCTTCTACAAATTTATGAGGCCACATGTAGTCATGCTAGGAGCCAAACATTTTAATTTTCAGGTAAAGTACTCTAAACAGTACCCCCAGACTCTGCCTAACAACGTATTGGGCCCAACTCTCCCTCTACCACTTCTCTAGGCAAGATAATAAAAAGAAGCTCTGTGAGAAATTTCCTATGCAGGTATGCCAGAGCAAGCAGCAAGCATCTGGCACTTTCATCGTGTGTGTGTGTTACATAAATTCCAAGTGTAAAAGGAAGAGTGGCGGGTTAATTATTATGTGTCTAATTAAATAACACTCAGTTCAAACATTAAAAACTAAATCTTCAAACTGCTTTTAAAACCAACATTTTCTAATATTGCGTGACTTTCTTCCTCTGCTTTTTAATCTATTTTAACATGTAAGATCATTGTCATCACCATATATCCTGATCAGTGGGATGGTTAACCTTGCACACGTATCTGAGTTACTGAAATTTTTCATTTAGCTGCTTTTGCTGTGTAACCATCATCAAGTTTTTAATTTCCACCTCACTCCATGTATTAGTTTCCTCATTCCAAACAGACTTAATAATAGTAGCAATGGTTTACTGGTAAATGTGTACAAAGTAACTTGTGTGTTGAAGAGAGGAGAGAATCCTAACTTGTAATTTTTGCCAATTTCTGTTATGAAATCATTTCCACCAATGATAAGAACAGCAATCAGCTCATACACTTCCTAAAACTTTAATCATTAGCTCTCATGAGCTAGTAAGAACCAGCTCTAGCACTCAACTTTCACAAAGGATTATTGTGAGAAATAAAAAATGTACATGAAGTGCTTAGCACATTGTTTAGCATATAGTAAATATATAATAAATACAAGCTTGGCTGGGCGTAGTGGCTTTCATGGAGCACTTTGGGAGGCTGAGGCAGGAGGATCACTTGAGGCCAGAAGTTTGAGACCAACAACATGGCAACATCCTGTCTCCACAAAAAATAGAAAAATCAGCTGGGCATGGTGGCACATGCATGTAGTCCCAGTTCCTTGGGAGGCTGAGGCAAGAGGATCGGTTGAACTTAGCCTGGGAGTTTGAGGCTGTAGTGAGCTATGATGACACCACTGCACTCTAGCCCAGGAGACAGAGTTTTTTCTGTCTCAAGAAAAAAAAATACAAGCTATGTTGATAATGATGATGATGATGATGACATGTTATGCAGTCCTGCTTTAAAAAAAAAAAACTTAGTAAACAAGGTTACTTAGTGAAATGTCCTCACTAGTAGTAACTACTTGAGAAGAAAGTAGCACTCCTTTCTTAACTTAACCTGGCTGAACCCTACAGCTAATTTATTAATACCTACAGAGAGGCATCATAGTGAAGGGTTACAAATACTAACCTCAAAGACATATTGCCTTTTTAATTCTGTCTCTTACTACTCACAAATTATGTGATATTGGGTAAACTGCAGCGTCCCAATTTCCCATCTGTATAACCGGGCACTATTGGTTTTTACCTCACAGAATTGTAGTGATGATTAAATCAGCTTGCTATATTGTACTATTAATATCTGTCTACTATCTTAGTATATCTTACTACTTTTAAACTGTTAAACTAATTTAGTAGTGCTTAACCTACAATGCACTTTAGATTGCTTCAGGAACTTTTAGTAAAACACCAATGTCTGTGGAATTCGGGCCCTTGCCATGCCTTGCCATGATGAATAATGGATATCAGTCTTACTTTCCATAGAAAACAACCACAAAAATGGTTAAAATATATGAAGCGACTGGTTTGGGGTATTGGACACTTCATGTTTAGATTCTTTAGAGAAAGGAGACATATGAGGTGAGTTCACATTCACTCTGGTCTTTCTTCCAAACCATGGCACAGAGAAGTGAATGCCAGAGTGCAGTAATCGCACTGAGTGGAAAAAATGAGATCAGAGTTTAGGGCTATTGAAGTAGCTAAAATTTTGGGAGGCAAGGTACCATGGAGAGAAGAATTGTGTAGGAGAAGAGCACCAGAAATCTACATGAGGATCCCTGTGAATCATTAGTCCATTGCTAATCTGCAAAGGCAGAGATTTTGGAGGAGGATCAGCAGAAAGAGCTACTAGGGAGCTTTGAGCAGAATACACATACTGAAGGCTGCAAAGTGCTGGCAGATACTGGTGTTCTGATTAGCCACAGTACATAAACCTCACTGAACAACACATCGGTTAAGTTGTGATCACAGAAAGACCACGCCTTAGAAATAAGAATTAGGCCCTAGGATGAGGTTTACTCTAGACCCATTCTAAGAAAGACTAAAACCATACCTTGGTGGGATAATGTGATCTGCTAGTAAATTAGCTGCCTGGCACAAAACTCAAAATTCTTTACAGGAAGACAACATGATCAAGACTGTCAACAATGCAGCATTCATCATATACAGCCTAAAGGCAAATATTACTATGCATGGGAAGAAGCAGAAAAACGTGACCTATTTTTAAGAGAAAAAATTATTCAACTGAAACAAACCCAGAGATGACACAGATGTTAAAACTAGCATAACTATTAAAAATATATTTAATAATTTAAAGAAAATAATGGACATAAAAGTAAAGACATGGGATATTTCAATGAAGAAATTGAAACTATAAAAAGCAACCAAAGAAAAATTCTAGAATTGAGAAATATAATATCTGAAATGAAAAATTTTATGAGCTTAATGAGAATAGAGAGTGCAGAAGAAAAAAATCAATTCTAAATAAGAGTGAGAAAATATGTGAAGCAAAACTGATAAAACTAAAGGAATAAATAGAAAACTTGTAATTGGAGACTTTAACACTCCTCCCTAGAACTTATTTAACAAATTATAGAACTAGACAGAAAATCAGCGAAGGTATGGAAGAACTGAACAACACCATCAGCAACAGGATCTGATACTTGCGGTATTATCTGAATTGATACAGAAAAAGCATTTGACAAAATTTATTACTCATCTCTGACAAAAGCTCTCAAAACATAGGAATAGAAGAAAATGTCCTAATGTTGATAAAGAACATCTACAAAAAATCTACAGATAACATCATAATTAATAGTGAAAGACTGCTTGCCCCCTAGATCGGGAATAATGCAAGAATGTCTAATTTCTGCACTCTTATTGGACATCATGATGGAAAGTCTAGCCAGCTCGATAAGGCAAGAAAAGGAAGAATGCATAGTGAAAGGGAAAAATAATAAAACTATCCTTATTTACAAATGGCATAATTATCTACATAGAAAATCCCAAAGATCTTTCAAAAAGAAAAGCAAAAACAAAAACCTCCTAAAACTATTAAGTGAGTTCAGCAAGATCCCAGGATACAAGATAAATATTTAAAAAATAAACCATATTTTTATATACTAGCAATTAATGCATGAAAACCAAAATAAAAGGTATAATATTTTGTATAATTACTCAAGAAAATAATATACTTAGGTATAAATCTAATAAAATATGTATAAGATTTGTAGGCTTAAAACTATAAAACACTTACAAAAAACCAAAAGATTACCTAAATATAGTTAATGTAGAGATACACAGTGTTCATGGATTGGAAGACTTAACATTCCAAAGTGATGTAAAGTTTAATGCAATTCCTATTAAATCCCAGCAAGTGTTTTGGTAAATATAGACAAGTTTATCTGAAATTTATATGGAAAGGCAAAGAAACTAAAATAGCAAAAAAGATTTTGGAAAAGAAGAATAAAGTGGAAGGAATCAATATACCTGATTTCAAGACTTATTACAGGCTGGGCGTGGTGGCTCACACCTGTAATCCTAGCACTCTGGGAGGCCGAGGTGGGTGGATCATTTGAGCTCAGGAGTTCAAGACCAGCCTGAGCAAGAGTGAGACCCTATCTCTACTAAAAATGTAGAAAGAAAGAAATTAGCTGGACAACTAAAAATATATATATATAAAATTAGCCAGGCATGGTGGTGCGTGTCTGTAATCCCAGCTACTCGGGAGGCTGAGGCAGAAAGATCGCTTGATCCCAGGAATTTGAGGTTGCTGTGAGCTAGGCTGATGCCATGGCACTCTAGCCCAGGCAACAGAGTGAGACTCTGTCTCAAAAAAAAAAAAAAAAAGACTTATTACAGTTACAGTAGTGGAGACTGTGGTATTAGCAGAGGGAGAGACACACAGATCAAGGGAACAGAATAGACAGCTTTCAAATAGATCCACACAAATATTCCCAACTGATTTTTGACAAAGATTCAAAAGCAATTCAATGTATTATAGAATGGATAGTCTTATCAGAAAATGGTGCTGAAGAATTGGATATTCATAGGCAGAAAAAAATGAATTTTGACCTAAGTATCATATCTTAAACAAAAATTAATACAAATGGATCATGGAATTAAATATAAAGTGTAAAACTATAAAATTATAGTTTTCTACATTACCACAATAAAGAAGAAAACCCATATGATTAACAGATGCAGACAAAGTATTTGACAAAATTTAACATACACTCATTAATCAAAAAAAAGAAAAACTTTCTGTGAAATAAAGTTTAAATGAAACTACTTTAATCTGACAGAGAGTATTTATTAAAAAAGAAAAAAAACCCTAAAGCTTAAATGATACTTAATGGTAAAATACTGAATGCTTTCCCCCTAAGTTTGGGAAAAGGGCAAATATGTCTCCTTTCTACACTTGTATGGAACATTGTACTCAACGCCCTACCAGGGCAATAGGGAGAAAAAAGGCACACAGTTATTTGGTATGTATAAAATAACAACTAGAACTAATAAGTGGATTTAGCAAGATCATGAGATTCATGTTTAGTATATAAACCTAAATTGTATTTCTACATACTAACAAGAAACAGTCAGAAAAATGAAATTATAAATAACAATAGCATCAAAAACATGGCATTGGAATAAAAATAGTGAAATATGTATGTATTAGTTATCTATAGATATGTAACAAATTGTCCTAAAATTTAGTTTCTTGAAATAAACATTTATTATCTCTATTTCAGTGGGTCAGGAATCTGGGTGAAGATTAGCTTGGTGCTTCTGACTTAATTTGTCTTATAAACTTTAATTTAAGCATAAATTGGAGGTACAGATATCAAAAGGCTCAACTGGGGCTGAAGAATGTGCTTCTGAACTCACTTACGTGGTTGTTGACAAAATGTAGTACTTTACAGTCATTTGGACTAAGGGTATCAGTTTCTGTTGGCTTTTGGCCAGAAGCTATTCCTTGTCACTTGGATCTCTCCATAGGTCAGCTCACAATATGGTAGCTGGCTTCTTTCAGAATGAGTAAGCAATAGACCTGGAAGAGAACAAGCCCCCAAGACAGAGGCCACAGTCGTTTTATAACCTAATTTAAGAAATGACTTTCCATTGCTTCTGCATATTCTGGTCATTAGACGTGAGTCAATAAATCCAGTCCACACTTAAGGCAACTGAATATCAAGAGATAGATAACTTTGGGAGCCAACTTAGAGGCTCTTTTCCAAACTGTGCAAGACTTATGCATTGAAAACCACAAGACATTGTTGAGAGAAAATTTACAAGACCTTAATAAATGGAAATACATTCCAGTCATGGATTGGCAGACTCAAGATCATTAGGACATCACTACATTCAACACAATCCCACTCCCACCAGATTTGTTTTAGAAATAGATAAGACAAATCTAAAGTTTATATAGAAACACAAAAGACCTAGAATAGCCATAACAATTTTGAAAAAGAAGAATAAAGTTGTAGGATTTATGCTCTCTGATATCAGGACTTACTATAAAGATACAGTAATTAAGTTTGTAGCATACTGGATTAATGATAAAAAAATAGATCAACAGAATATAATAAAGAGTTTTAAAAAGGCTCACATTTTTATGGTGGATTGATTTTTGACAAAGATGCTAAAGCAGTTCAATGGAAGAAAAGGTAATTTTTTTTGACAAATGATGCTGAACAACTGGATATTCATTTAGAGAAAAAGAAAATAAAACTTCTATTTTTACCTCACATCATGCTGAAAACTGGCTTGAGATGGATCATAAACTTAAAGTTTCTGGACGAAAATATAAGAGAATACTTTTTTTGACCTGGGGATAAACAGAGGTTTCTTAGGACAAAAAAATAATAGTCACTTCATCAACATTAAAAACTTTTGCTTATCAAAAGGTAGTTTTACCGAAAGGAATAGGTAAACCACAGACTGGGTGAAAATGTTCACAATACATATATCTGACAATGAACTTCTTCTTAGGATATGTTTTTTAAAATGTATACAATTTTATAATAAAAGAAAAACAATCCAGTCTTTATAATATAAAAAAGAGTTGAACAGACACTTCAAAAAGAAAAATATATACTAATAAGCATGTTAAAAAATGCTTAACATCATTACTCTAGGGAAATGCAAATTAAAACCACAAAGAGACACATAATATGCAATTTAATTTACACAAAAGTTTTAGAACTAGCAATTCTTATGTGTAGACAGAGAAATTAGAATAGTAGTTGCCCCTCATAGAGTAGGGGATTGATTGGGAAGAGGCACTAGAGAAATTTTGGAAGATATGAGACTATTCTGCACCTTGATACAGTTGAGGATAATATGGGTATAGGCACAATCAAAACTCTTCAAATGGTACATGAGTATTTCAATGTATGTAGATTATACCTCACATTTCCTAATTACCAATGTTTGAGCTGTACCCTTAAAGAATTAAATCATAATATTCAGTGTAGGCATACTGGGCACCAATATGTTAAAGTTTCCCAAATGGTTCTTTTTTTTTTATTTCCTGAGACAGAGTCTTGCTCTATCACCCTGGCTAGAGTGCAGTGGTGTCATTATGGCTCACTGCAACCTCTGACACCTGGGCTCAAGGGATCCTCTTGCCTCAGCCTCCCGAGTAGTTGGGACTACAGGCACATGCCACCACACTGGCTAATTTTTCTATTTTTTGTAGAGACGGGGTCTCACTCTTGCTCAGGGTGTTCTTGAACTTCTGACCTCAAATGTTTCTCCCGCCTTGGCCTTCCAGAGTGCTAGGATTACAGGTGTGAGCGACCACGCCCAGCCTCAAGTGAATCTAATGTGAAACTCTGAGAGCCTCTAGTGTGGTTTCATGCTCTGTCATAATTTCCATTTGTGGCCGTAGAACAGCAGACTGGCAAGGGATTTAAGAAAAGTTCTGAAAGTTAGAATTCCATAACTCACCAGAAGTGTGAAATCTCAGATTGGGAAGTGTTAGTCCACTCGTTTATGGAGACTGACTTGGGATATGAGTGAATGAAGAAATCAAGTGGCTCCAAAGATATTAATTGCTCCTCCCTCCTGACAATGAAAAGGTGCCAAAGAGGCCAAGTTTGAGGTGAAGAAAACATATCAAGGCCTCTAATTGTTCTCTTTTCCCAGGTGTGGAGAATTATTTGACATAGATGTGCTGGTAGCTTGAACAGAGCACTGTGTGGCTATACATAGGCAGGTGTGTATAGTAGATAAGAATTGATGAAAAAAGTATAGATATATTCTCAGGGCCCAAGAAGAGCAACAGTGGAATTTAAGGACACATGTTCTTTTCCAATATCTCTATAGGTATTTGTTTATTTGTCAAACTATATGTCCTGATTTTAGTTTGGTTCCAAAACATGGATGGAGTACATGCAGGAATATAAGAGAATTCCTAGAATACTTTCACCATGCCTTAGATTGACATCCAAATTCTTCCCCTGTCTTGAGCATCTATAAACATAGTACAACCTAGTTTAATTTATATTGGTGAATATAGAATATTATATGAAATTGTCATGAATGATTTGTATTTTTTGTTCAATTCTAGATATTATTTCATGGATTGAGTGTATGCTTAATTTCCGTGATTGTCAATAGATTTATTTTGCCAAGGGCAGTTACTGAACTAGGTAAGCCTTACTAATTTACCCTTTTAAGTGAAGAGAAAAATATTCTAAATATGCTAATAATGAAAAAAAGAATCCATATAAATACAATTCACTGGTGCATAATTGAAGAGGAAATTGAATCTCCATGTAAAGACATATTCAGGGCTTAGGCCAACAACCTTGTTTATGTAAAAAGATTATTTATTTACATTATTGCAATATAACTAAAATCATGCTATAAGTTTATAAAATTATTTAGAGAATTTTTATTGGGAGGCACCTATATGCCAGGCACTATTCTAACTCATAGTGGTGCATTATGAAGACAGATGAGATTTCTGAGTTGATGGATCTTACAATGGAGTGAGGAGAAGCAGATGGTAAACACAGAAAATAAAGTAATGTCAAAAAGTCATATACATGTCAAAGTAAAACCACATATGAAATAAAATAAAGAATGCAACAGGTGCTAAATTCTTCAGGAAGTTGGAAACTAGGTATGTTCAAGAAAAGAAAGATGGTTTAAGGAATTAGAACTTTAGAGAATAGTGCAGATAATTCCTCATATGTGCTTAAGTGGCTTGTGTGATTATGGAAGCTAAGTCCCAAAATATGCAGTTCCAAGACCTGAGAACAAAAAGAGCCCATGGTGCAAGTTCCAGTCTAAGCCTGAAGTCAGAAAACCTATTTCCCATCTCAAGACCATCAGGCAGACAGAGCAAATTGTCTCTTGCTCAGCCTTTTGTTCTATTTAGGCCTCCAACAGACTGGATAAGTCTCACTGACTTTGGGGAGGGTAATCTGCTTTTCTCGGTCTACCAATTTAAATGTTATTCTCATCTAGAAACACCCTGACAGACACACCCAGAATAATGTTTAACTGCATATCTGGGCACCCTGTGGCCCAGTCAAGTTGACACATAAAACTGTCCATCATACCTCCGTTTCCTCCTATCTCAAACTGGGAAAAAGGACTCATCTCAAAGGGTAGTCAGTATAACGAAAAGACTTAATACATGCAAAATTCTGGGACATGTTTTCCTAGTATATAGTAAATATTCAACAAATATTGACTATTACTATTATTGTTATTCTATATCTCAGCTTTTGTGAGAAGTAGTATAAAAGTAGAAAAAAATGATATTGTTATTATTATTACTAAACAATTTACAGTAAATCTTTATTTAAAGTTTAAAAAAAAAATACTTAGTGGCAATAAGTTAAGACCAAAAGGAAATTTTATAATCCATATCAAAATTGTGGTCTTCCTATTTATAAAATATATTCTTTGTATCAAAGGTCTTCGTGATGTCACATCAACCAAATATAAGTCAGTTCATTATACATTTCAACATTTTCAAGAACTAACCAAATCTTCAGCCTCTGCACTGAAATTTGATAAAGATCTTGCTAATGCTGATTGGAACATGGTTGAGAAAGCAATTATTCTTCAAAACCCATATACAGTAAGCAAGTTATACCTTTTGTTTATTTCTTCAAAGTAGATATGATTGCCATTGAGTATAAATCATGTCATAAATATTAATTCATAATTTTTAATATTTGTGATTGACAGAGTTGTATTGATAACTTTATTTGCCATAATAGTAAGGAGGAGATCTCAAGGAATTTTATGATCACTGTGGGGCAAAGCAGAAGTCACAACCCCTTTGAGAATATTGGAGTTATATGTTGTAAATTCAAAAGAGGGAGCAGTGTATTGGGGCTGCCTGTAAAAGAGGTCAAAAGGAAGAGAATGAACCTTAGAAAATGGCTAGTTTTTGACCAGATTAGGGGTGGACAAGTGCCTTTGTTCATTCATTTATTCAGAATTTATTTAGGCTATGATATATGCTAAGCACTTGCTAGACTCTAATTTGTGGTTAATAGTATTTTAATATAAAACAGAATTCAAAACCAGTATCATAAGTTTAGCTGTGGGTGAGATGTCACCTTCTGTTCCTGAGATATGCTTTAGAATATCTGTGGGCAGACTTATTCATTTAAGATTACTCGGCACACCAGTCAGTCATGGTTTCCATAAGGGGAAATGGTAAAAGTTGTCTTGGGATTTTCTCAAAGCTGTTGCTGCTTTTCCATGTCCTGCATCATGTCAGTTTTCACTGTGATGTTTTTCTGCATCACACCATGTGAGGGACCAACTTCTAGCAGTGCAGGTTGAGACAATTAGTCTCTATGAAATAGCATTCTGAAAAATCCATTTCTTATCCATTAACCATCACTTGAAGCTCCAGATAAGGTCTAAGAGTCAAGCCCTGTGCTTGCAGGAATACTGCTGGAATTTCTGGATGGGACAAGTACCATGTCAAATCCAAGAATTTCGCTAGTAGCTCCAAATGTCTATTTGTGACCTTTTATTGACCTGTTTGCATCAGAATCAGCTGGAAAGTTTATTTAAAATATTGATTGAATTCCCAACTCCTATCCTGGAGATTCTGATGCAGGTGGTCTGAGCAGGGTCTCAGAAACACATATTTTTAATTCACTACCTAGCTGATTCTACCGCAGAATCAGTGTTGGAGCCGCTGCTCTGGTACTTAATTAGTTTCAGAGGCAGTTGATCAAACAACCACATTCTCCTTTTTATGACGCACATATGAGGCATATTATAGTGTAACAGGTAAAACACTGACGCTGGACTCAGAAAATCTTGGTTTATATCCTAGCTTTGCTGCTTAATAAATAGCTTTCTGATCTTGCGCATATCATTTATTTTCTCTAAGCTTCCGTTTTTCTCATCTGTAAATTGTCCATATTCCCATTTCCTTAAGGCATATTCACTTTCTATTCTACCTCAAGTGGTTAGTTTAGAGCAGTGGTTGTCAAGCTTTAGCTGCAGCAGAATAATTGAATGGGTTTATAGGAACACAGGTCGCTGCCCATTCCTACTGATTCTATTTCAGTACGTCTAGAGCGGGATCTGGGAATGTGCATTTCTGATAATTTCCACTTGGTGGTGGTGCTGCTGCTGCTGGGGGACCATGCTTTGTGATCTGCTGGTTTAAAGTATGATCCTATATGTGGTAGCGTTCTAAACTGCTAATAATGCCGCTTAAAGTAAAGATATGATATAACCCCTTCCCCCAAAAACTGGCAATTATTTTACTTTCTACATAACTGGGCAAATGATGAGGACATTTGCGCAAATAATGAGGATCTGAACATTTTTCTGTATCTACCAGGTTTTCTATTATTTTTCAAATCAAACTGGTACAAGAATTGCTTGAGGTTTATGCTAAACAAGATGTAAATATTTATGTATTATTTTTTGTCTTTTATTTGTGTTTTACGTAGTTGAACCAAGAAGAAACAACAGAGCATCAGAAGGTGACATGTCCAGACTGTAACAAAGAGATAAATGAGACCCTTAACACTGAAGCAATGGAGCTTGCCAACAGGCGTCTCTTATCAGCACAAATAGTACTGTATTATACTTTTTAAAATTATTTTTGAGCCTAAAATTATATTGAAATCCTTCTCCTTTGCTAACGATGTCTTGCTTATGCTAACCTGTATAACTTAATAGATTGTTTACAAAGGCAAAGGGAAGTTTGGCATTGTCTTAGGAATCTGCTTGACTGCAAGGAAAAAAAAAGGAAAGAAAAAAAAGAAATCCACTCAAATTAGCTCAAGTAAAAGGTGTTTTATAATGAAGAATTGGGAATTTTACAGGTCCCACTGTCAGGAGTTACATCTGGGCTTAACCTTCAGATGTGCTAGGTAATTAATTCTGTGACATTGCACACTTCTGGGTCCAAGTCAGTTTTTAATGGAAGGATACTACCAAATTCTCTAATAACTGCATGTACAGAGTATTATGCTTTCATTCAAATCTTGAGTAAAAAGTAGAGAAATTCTATAGCACAGCTGCATACAGTACTATGTTGGAAATTACTAATAGGCTAGTTTTCATGTTCTATCCAGGTCAGGATTTTGAACTATTTGCCATGACTCATCTTCTCAAAAGGCTCATGTTGGGCCTTCCTCACTGCATATGGAGCTGTTGTTGATTTCTCAGCTATTCCAACCATACAGGATCCCAAGCATTCTACTTAGTCTAACTCAAGAAATGCGAGGTCTGGAGGGCATGATTGTTCTCTCTTCAGCAGGTGGTAGTTTGAGCAGACAAGTTGAGTCTCAAAAACAACTTTTTTAAGGACTTAAACAACTTCTTTAAGCAATTGAGGCAGTGCCACGAAGGATGAAGCTTATGTCCTCATGGTGCTGTGTTCCACCAGTAGATTTTCCACTTGTCCTACCAAATGAGGTATTGCTACCTACAGAGAAAAGATTTACTCCCACACAACTAAGTTAATACAGGCAGGGGTGGAAATATCGCAGCTAGCTCTTCCATCTCTTCTAAATCTGATGCACCAGGAGCCATGGTTCTATGAGGTAAATGAACGAAGGCCAGCTATCAGGATTTCCCTTGGGAACCACCTATGAACAGCTTCTGAAGCAAAGACAAAGGCAAGCTGTCTGAATATACCAAGCCATCAGGGAGGAAAAAATAAAAATATCAGTCAAAGGAAATAATGGAACAGGATAGTCAAACATCTAGACCAGGATTTCTAAGTATAAGAGGATCTGGAAACATTAGAGTAGGGAGAGTCTTGAGAAAACCATCAGTGAATCTGAACAGCCAAACGTGGCTTTTTTAAACTGCAACAATTGCTCCCTTGGATTACGAAATCAGAAATGGGGAGTTTGCAAAATTTGTCTATAACTGTCAAAAATGTGATAGAATAACCAAAAGTACATGCAATCTGCTATGTAATTTAGGAAACATAAATCACATTTCTATTTTTTCTGCAAAAAGTCCCCAAATCAAAAAATTTTCAATGAGATAGAAAATAAAAACAAAAGAGACTGTAAACACCATATGGTAGAAATATCAACCACCAGCATATTTGCATGCACTTTGATCTGTCTCATTGCTCACTTAACTTTTCCAAACAGTTTTGCTTCTCCATCTAAGTAATGTACTTGCTGGACAATTTTTTAACAGCCTTTCTAGCTGGACTCATAATCACTAGGATCTCCCACTGCCATCACGACAACCCTTTTCCCCACCACACCCCTAAGGCCACTAATACTTGTAGGTGCACACACACACTTTTCTCAGCCTTAAAAAAAATCCCAAAGCTTTGTGTCATTTTGTTTATTGATATCTTTTGGCACATTATTATTAAATTTTACTTTTTAACTTGTATTTTATTCCAATATGAAATGTGACTGTAGGGTTGAGAAGGTATTTTTGTTGTCATTATTTTAATTGATATATAATAATTATACATATTTATGGGGCACAGTGTGATATTTTTATATAGGTATACATGTCTAATGACCAAATTAGGATAATAAGCATATTCATCATTTCAAACCTTGATCATTTCTATGTGTTGAGAATATTAAAAATCTTCTTTCTAGCTATTTAAAAAAATACAATAAATTATTGTTTACTATAGTCACCCTATAGTCACCCTATAGTATGACTGAATATTAGAATTTATTCCTCCTATCTAGCTGTAACTTTGTATCTATTAGCCAACCTCTGCCTGGTCCTCCTGCCCCCTACCCTTCCCAACCTCTAATAACCACCATTCTACTCTCTACTTTTGTTAAATCAATTTTTTTGACTTCCACATAGGAGTGAGAACATGTAGTATTTATCTTGTTGTGTCTTATTTATTTCACTTAACATAATGTCCTCTGGGCTCATACATGTTGCTGCAAATGACAGGATTTTGTTCTTTTGTATGGCTCAATAGTATTCTGTTGTGTATATATGCCACATTTTCTTTATCCATTCATCCATCAATGGACACTTAGGTTGATTCCATATCTTGGCTATTGTGAATCGTGCTGTAATAAACATGGGAGTGAAGATATCTCTTCAATTTTCTGAGTTCCTTTCTTTTGGATATATACCCAGTCATGGGATTGCTGGAACATGTGGTAGTTCCATTCGTAGCTTTTTGAGGAACCTCCATACTTTTTTCCATAATGGCTGTGCTAATTTACATTCGCACCAACAGTGTATAAGAGTTCCCTTTTCTCTGCATCCTTGCCAGCATTTGATATATTTTAACTTTTTGATAATAGCCATTCTAGCTGGGTCAAGAGAGAATATCTTATTGTGGTTTTGATTTGTATGTACCTGATGATTTGTGATGTTGATCATTTTTTCATTTACTTGTTGGCTATCTGTATATCTTATTTTAAGAAATGCCTCTTCAGATCCTTTGCTCATTTTTGATCAAATTATTGTTTTTGCAGTTGAGTAGTTTGAGTTCCTTGTATATTCTGGATATTAATTCCTTATCAGATGAATAGTTTGCAAATATTTTCTCTCATTCTTCAGAATGTCTCTTTACTGATCACTTCCTTTACTGTGCAGAAGCATTGTCATTTGATATAATCACATTTGCCTATTTTTGCTTTTGTTGCTTGTGCTTTTGAGGTCTTACCCATAGTATGTTTTCCCAGACCAATGATCTGAAGTATTTTCCCTATGTTTTCTTATAGTTGTTTCATAGTTGTGGGTCTTATATTTAAATCCTATATCCATTTTGAGTTGATTTTTGTATATGAGGAGAGATAGGGGTCTATTTTTATTCTTCTGCATATGGATATCTAGTTTCCAGTTTTCCCAACGCCATGTATTGAGGAGACTGTCCTTTCTCCAATGCATGTTTCCGGCAACTTTGTTGAAAATCAGTTGGCTGTAAATAGGTGGATTTATTTCTGGGCTCTCCTATTCCATTGGTCCATGTGTCTGTTTTTATACCAGTACCATGCTGTGTTGATTACTACAGCTTTGTAGCATATTTTGAAGTCAAGTAGTATAAGGCTTCCAACTTTGTTCTTTGTGCTCAAAATTGCTTTGGCTGCTCGAGGTCTTTTGTGGTTCCATATAAATTTTAAGATTGTTTTTTCTACATCTATGAAAAATGTCATTGGTATTTTGATGGGGATTACATTGAATTTGTAGGATGCTTGGGGAGTATGGTAATTTTAACAAAATTTATTCATCTGATCAATCAACATGAGATGTCTTTCCATTTTTGT